AGACAAATTCTGTAGCCAATAGCAGGGGACCAGACCTTATGGCGACCTATTGTCTCTGAATTTCAATCAGGCTTCACCCTCCAAAACACAAAATTTCCCATCGCAGGAGACGCATTGCACTGAGCACTGAGTGTCTGTATGGACATTCTAGCCTCAGTGTGCCTCCACACTCGCTGCATGCCCAAGATTGATGTACCTGTCTACAACAGGTATGTGAATCTGTTGCCCACACTGACATTTGTCATGTGGAGGCAGGTTAGAACTCCTAGGAGTGTTTTAGACACTCTTTATGAATACCCCGGAGTGTCTCCTGTAATATTGTCACAAACCTCTGTGCCCATTTTCCAAGCTTCTCTCTATCTCCCTCCATTGTACCAGCCTGCAATGCTCTCTTAGCTGATTCATTAAACTATTACTAATTTTTCATGCTGAAATCCTATGTTACCATCACTTGATTCCTATTGGTTGTTAGGTATGTTAGTCTTCTGACTGTATATTTGCTCCCCTCTGCCACTAGCTAGTCTGAACTTTGGCTATTAGTCCTGCCCTTCTTGTCAATGGCTCCATAGTAAGAAAGCTATTGCCACTCTGCACAGTGTTCTGGCTCTTGTGGGAAAACACACGGGATAAAGAAACTGAGGGTTAGTATCCAAAATCCCATGAATGTCCTAAAGGATCCTGCAGTGGGGACACTCGATGTGGTGACAGCTGTCTAAAGCTGGCCATAAACTAGTAGAAATTAATTTGAAAATGTTTTCATTTTAAGAACATCCATTCAATTTTCTGATCATTAGTGGGGTCAAATCCATGTTCGTTTTCGACCACAGTGACAATAAAATTTAGAAGGAGCAGGAAGAAAAGTTTTCTCAAACAAACAAATGTTTAATTGCATATGCGGCTTTCATACCAGAGAGCCCATTCATTCCAAAATCAAAGGTTAAAAGCAAAGGAAATTTGCAGTACTTTCAAATGACATTCGTCAAATATATTGAGAATTTTCCTATGAATGCTGGTTTGAAAATGTATTTGGCCAGTTTAGGAGAGAATTTCCATCACATAAGAAAAGGTTTTATTTTGCCTCCTGCTGTGTTAATGGGACAGAAAATAAAGGGAAAGCTTAGCAATTACCAAAAACAAAGTTTTGCCTTTCAGATATACCTAAAAGTTACAACGAACCAACTATACAGGGGAGATGGGATTTAAAAACAAATTAACAAATGGCCATTTTCTTACGGAGCTCAATGGCACAAAGTATTTGGTTAAAGACGGTATTGAACAGGAATCATGTTAGCAGGTGCAGTTATCTTGTCTGCTACTAGTGGCTCTGTTCTTAGTATAGTGTAGTAGAGAAAATTATGTAACTGGTTGTTAGACCCAAAAAAAACAAAAATGAAAAAAAAAACAAAACAATATTTTCTAATTTCTGTTATAAAGAATATCCAATATAACCAAATTTCTTCATAAATGTAGGCTAAAATATATTCTTCTACATGTTTTTGCTAAAAAAAAAAAAATCCCAGTAAGTGTATATTGACTGTTTTTGTGACAGTTATGGCATCTACAAACTATGGTTTATATACTGTATTTGAAAATTGATCAATCCTGATGTACTGATGGCCTCTCATTTCTTGAGGCCGTTAAAATGCCAGGACAGTGTAAATAATTCCCCAAATTACGTATTTTTGGAAAGTAGACAGCTTGGAGGTATTTAGTAAGAATCAAGGCAAGTTTGACGTTTATTTTTTTTGTTCATTTTTTTTTCTATTTTGTTGGGGGATCAGATTTTTGTTTTTTTTTAACACTTTGATTACTGTCACTGTGATGATCACTGTAACAGCTCTGTTTTGAACTGTAATGAATGGGTTTCATTCATAACAGCTGTGATTACTATTGTGTGCTGTGATTGGCCCACAGCTATCACATGGTTGGTACAGGGTGCTGTGCTTGGCCTAAGTACCATGTGATAGCTGTGAGCCAATCACAGCATCACAATACTAAGCACAGCTGTTATGAATGAAGCCCATTCATAACAGTTGTGTTTACATTGTAATTATGTGATCGCATAGCAGCCAGGTGCCAGGAGTTTCAATCCGCTGTGTCCCTGTCCAGTGGACACAGTGGTCACAGGAATGGCGTGCTGTGTGCCCACTAGCCGGGAACGTACATGCATGTGATTTTGCCTGGCTGTGCCGCCACCGTAAAATTACTATGGATGGGACAGCAAGTGATTAACAGGGCTGAAGCTCCGGGTAAGGTCCCAACTCTATGATGCTCCCAAGGAGAAAAGAGGTGAAAAGGGAAGATGGCTTACAAAATTATGTGCTGAATTATCCACACCTAAATGACAGCTACAGAATGTTTGCTCCTGTGTGTGGCATTCTGTACCAAAGAGTTCTGTCAGTATGCCTATGTGATGTTAGAAGTCACAGCAATCTTTGAAAGCTACAGTAAATTGCAGGGAACATATCTCTTTTGTGTACATTCTTTTATTTTTAAATATTCAGGCCTACGGCCACAGATGTTGTGACAGGGCTTATGGCTAGCAGTTTGGCACAAATTTTGTAATCAAAACAAACTCACGTTTGTCCATAGGAAAAGCCAGAATCCTAAAGAACATAATTATATATGTACAAATATTGTAGATACATCATACAGTAAATTACAAATAATTTCTCTGCGCTGTCCTACTAGCCTCAAGGCAAAATTGTGGTTACTTTTTCCTAACATATTATGGCAACATGTTCAATTTTGTTGTATTATTTAATCAAACAGAACTCACAATAATCTCTTTTAGTTCACCAGTATATTGTACTGCTTAAACTGACATTAGAATGAAAAAATGCAGAGCTCTTCTGAAGTCCCCTGGCATCCTGGAATGCGGGGAGCTCTACTGGTCTATGAGGAAACCCATAACATTGATGGACATGTAATAGAAAGGTTCAGGTGGCAGAAGTTCGTATTTGTATACATGTGTGTACTGTATTCAGTAGTCCCAGGGATCGCAAAGTAGATTTAAACTTTCTTTGCTCAACATTTCATTTGCTAAAACATTGTGTTCCATAAACGATTTTTTTTTTTGACCTCAAAATACCATTTTTATTTTTTTCTTTCCATCCTTTGTATCCCAGTGCTGATGATTTCCATCAGCATCTTTTGGACAGTTCCTTTCTACATATACTCGTTTCAGCATTGGCTGCACCTTTATTGCTCTGGAGCTGCTTTATGGTAGTAGCAAAAGTGGACCATGCCTACTGTATGTAACATGTATCGGCATAGAGACTCTCTACTGGGGCCTGTGTGACAGGCAGACAACAAAAGAATCTTTAGGTGCCTGTATTTCATTTCTCTTGGCGAAACTCTAGCTAAAGATAACAGATAAAAAAATGCTCTTAAAAAGATTTAAAAAAATTAAATAACAGAATCAGCTTTTGTGCAATATTCTCCTTCAATCCAGAGATTTACCTGGCAGAATTTGTTTTCTGCTGCTAGATGTTCTTAATCTGATGGCCAGCATCCAAGCCACTTCCAGTAAGACCAGGTCGTTCTGGACTCACCCCAGCCTGTAAGTGGACAATGATGAGCTCATCTCTCTGTCATTCTGCTCTCTCTTCCTAATAGCATGCTTTTTTGTCAACAAATGAACTGATTGGCTCCCTATGCTGCTTCTTCCTCTCACACTTCAGCTCAGCTGTACAAGGACTCCAAAAGGCTGATACCAGGTCAAATTCTGGTACTTACATTGCTTGCATTTACAGATGAAGTTTAGGTATAGATATTTTTGCATATTTACATTGGTCTCACTTGGACCATTGTAAGTATGCATGTGATATACCTGGCCAATTTGTCCCTTGCTGATCAACTACCCTGCTTTTTAATGAACATGTGATCAATCGCTTTGCATGGGTGCATTTCTGTCAAGGTCCTACCTTTTCCCAGAGGTTATGCTGCTCCATGTGCTGGCATCCATCTTGGATTTCTGCAGAGCATGGTGGGAGTCTTTTATGCCTTCAGGCCTCTGCGGTCCATTCCCCAGAGGGGTGTTGTTGATCACATATAAGCCTTTTGTCCGCACGTGCCCTTTGCATTCGTGTCTTGTGTGTTAGTGTGACTATAGCTCTGTTTATACTCTCGTGGCTCTCCTGGAATCTGACTCGGCTTTTGACTGACCACTCTCTGTGTTTTCCATTGATCTGACCTTCCGTTGCTGAACCCGGCCTGTGACCTGTTATTCTTGTCTACCGTTTTGTATCTTTTGTCCCGTTGTTATCGATCCGGCCTGCCCAACTACTCTTTGTCTATCTGGTCCCTACCAGCTACGCGCCATTGGCGGCGGCCACTACCGCAGCTGGGGTGTCTCGGGGGCCGCGACCTGGTTCCTGGCTGCGTCAAGTCCATCCCCACCATCAGGGGACCTGGTGAAGGGCAGCCTGGGACTTAGACTCTGCGCCCTGAGGGACTCCGGTCTGTGGGTGGTGGTTGTCGTCAGTCAGTGCGTGACCCTGCCCTGACAATTTCAGAGAACACTTTGCATTTTCTTAATAAATGCACAACATTCTCTGATTCGTGAAGTTGGCTTGGTAGGGTGGTGACATCACAATTACCCAATCAAAAGACACTTTTCATTCTTTGAAAAAATGCAGTGTTCTTTAAATGGCATTCGTGCTGAGCGAGTGACCCCTGTTTGTATTTAATGTACTGTAACAGTCTGTTGTTACTGTAGAAGCTTCTCTTATGAAAAAATTCTAAGAGCCTAACTTTTTTTTTGATAGAGTTCTGTTTGCCAAAATACTGTATTAGAGACACTAAAAGTAATGTATATGTAAAGTAGTACACTTGTTAGTGTATATAGACCACTGACCAGGGAATGTGCATGTTAGTTTAATAAAGGATCTTCCATGGGCATGATTTTGTCTACCTGATTGTTCAGGAACCCTTGAGTACATAAACCCTTTTCACTCCCTCGTGTGACTTCAGTATAACCTCTCTTTTTTTGTCTACAGGGCCCTCTCTCAGGGATGCTACCTGCCTCTCCAATAAAAGAGCCAGGTCACAAGGGAAAGAAGTTATTGAGTAAAGACAGTCTGGAGTACCGCCTGCGTAGAGAGAGAAACAATATTGCAGTGCGCAAGAGCCGTGACAAAGCCAAACGCAGAAATCTGGAAACTCAGCAGCGAGCCCTAGAATTCATGGCTGAGAACGAGAAGCTGCGTAGCCGCATACAACAGCTGAACCAAGAGCTTGAAGCTTTGAGAGGGGTTTTCAGGCAAATTCCTGAGGCAGCTGCATTAGCCAAAGGAGTTGGTGGCTGTAGCTGAAAGCCATAAATAATTATAATGAATAAAAAAGGCTTATTATTGCATTCCAGTCTTAACAGACTTTGGGTGAGACTTGTGTTCAACCAAATGAATGTACATCCAAGAATAAAAGGATTCATTTTGCATAAAGATATATTGTATACATACAGATTCTAGGCTGGGACTAGTTCATGTGACATCACTGGTACCACAATTCTACTGATAGTATTCAACATGTGTTTTTCAACTGAGACGGCAATCTGTGTAAATGTTAAAGTCTTTTACATATGTACTTTAGTTTGTATAAAAGCAGTGTCTGCAGCAAGCTTTTACATTTAGAAAGCATTCAGTCAGCGTTAAACAACTTTTTTGAAGCAACCCGATGTGAATGTACAATATATATGTAAAGTGCTGCGTAAATTGACGGCGCTATATAAGTACCTGTAATAAATAGATAACAAACCTTCAACTCCAGTTTGGAGATGTTAAAGCTTTGGTTTTTTTTTTTTTTAAATCAGCACAAAGGACAGTACTTACACTGACTGGTTACTATGTACAGCTGCTCCAAATTCTGTTTACTCCAGTTTTAGTGACTCCCATATTTGTGTTACATTTTTATTTTCGCTGCAGAATTGCTTTAAACAAGCTGCTAGCAGACTTCAGTAGGCTTTCAAGAACTACTTCAAATTTGTTAAAAGCCTTTTGAACCTTGTTGGCAGCTTGTTTAAAGTAACAGCCAGCATTTCCATTAACATCCCCAAACTGGAACTGAAATTTAGAAGCACAGAAAAGTGATGGCAGAAAAAAAAACGAGTGGTCCATCGAGTCTGTCTGTTTTTTTTTTTTTTGGGGGGGGGGGGGGGGGGGAGGTGTTTTTTTTTTGGTAACTTTTTTTGTCTGAATGTAGATCTATGCTTGTCCCAAGCATGTTTGAAGCTATTTACTGTTGACTGGCTCACTACCTCTGATGGAAGTTTATTCCAAGCATCAACTACTCTTTCCGTAAAATAATACTTTCTGAGATTAGTTTTAACTTTCCTCCAGTTAGTTTAAGGTCATGTTCCTGTGTTCTTGATTTTGGTTTTGTGTTGAAAATACTGCCCTCCTGAACCTTATTCATCCCCTTGATGTATTTAAAGGTTTCAGTCATGTCTCCCCTTTCCCTTCTTTCCTCCAGACTGTACATATTAAGTTCCTGAAGTCGCTCTTGATATGTTTTATCCCCCAGACCTGTCACCATTTTTGTTACCAGTCTCTGGACTCGTTCTATGAATATTTTTTTTAAGCGAGGTCTCCAGAACTGGACACAGTATTCTAAATGAGGTCTAACTAAAGATCTATATAGGGGAATCAGGACCTCCTTCCTTCTGCTGGTGACCCCTCTAGTGATGCATCCTAGAATTCTATTTGCTTTCCCCACTGCCTGGCCACACACTGTTTGCTCATTTTGCAGTCATTGAAATAACTACCCTTTTTTGCTTTAAAGGCTTCAAGAAACCTTTAAGCTGGTTGAACCCTTTGCTAATGCTTTGAAAAGGCATTGCTGTGAACAGTGTACTTTCACCACCTGAAGCCCTTATGTACAAGGTCCAGCTGCTGCATGAAATAGAAGTTAATATTATGTTTCAGTAGTGGACGATGGATGTGAGCTCATATATTTGTGGCCGTTGTTTTTCATATAGGTAAACTAGTACTCTGTATTTTTCATTATGTACTTTGGAATAACTAGTATTGTTCTTACTAAACTATCTGTATGAATTGTTGAAAACTCCTAATGTGTATACATTGATTGTCAGGAGAACCAACATCTATAATATGTATTTTAAAAACCTATTAGCTGGTAAATAATGTATATCAATTTTGTATAATAGTTATTTCTTCTAAAATACAAACTGTTTTTCATGAATGAGTTGTTGACTTAAAGTGAGAACATGGAAGACATCTTTTTCTATGGGATAACCAGCTGCAGTGGTTCCCCCATCACATGTATCTTCCTTTCTGATATGTGATCACTAAACACTGTTGATGCCACATGGAAAACGTTAGCCTAGAGCTAACAAAATGCAATGTAGTGATCAATAAGCAAAACATAGGGGTGTTGAAGTATTCTTTAATCTATTACTAGATTAAAGAATAGGATTGTGAAATGTCCAGTTACTGACTCACAATGGCCCATACAGTATCAACTCACATCTAAATATGTATGTTCCACCTATCTTCCCCCTTGAACATACTTCTTTTCTCTGGTAACTTGTGGTTTCTTATTAACCTCCATGTTCGTGACAAACATAGACTTGGGTGTGACGTGGAGAAACAGAAGTGTGTTTTAGCTCTATAAATAAAGGTATATACATATATATATAGCAATATGTATTTTATATATGTGCAAGGGAACAGACACAAGAAGAAGTGAAACAACTAAATGACTTTGGCTGTCTCAAATCTTCTCTCTCCATGCTCATCTCTGTTAGATCATTTCTATCGAACGTCCTACCATATCTCCATGTTATCAATCATCATCTTGTTTCCCTATCATACTTTACCTATGCAAGCCCCTTTCTCTGCCTTTATCTATCCCCCTCTCTCACCTGCTCTCTCACTTTTTTGCTGCTGTCTCTCCCCATCCTCTACTTTTCTCTGAAAGTCTGTGGGAGATGTACTTATTTCAACATATGTTTGCAGCTAATGGTGACCACAGAGTTAGCCCATCATCCTGTAGGAGGGGGGGGGTGAGGGGGAAATAAGAGTAGGGTGGGGAGAAGTAGATGAGACAGCGAGGAGGGTGGTGATCAGTATGAATATGTGAACACGGTTTGAGATAATCTGCCTGATTCTTGATATGAAATCGTTTACATGGGTTATGAAAACTAGAGGTTTTGTCTCCCAGGACTTAGATCATATCTTTTATATATTTCAATTTGGCCATTTTATTGTAATAATATTATTAACTGAATCATTTATGGGAAGAGCAAAGATTATGAATGTTGAAAATAAAAAAAAAAAAGTATAAACTGAGCACTGTAACTGTGAGTCATATTTCTATGTATAAAAGAAATAATTCATTAGCACAAATTGCTTTATAAGGTATGTTCATGGTGGGTGACACACACTGGGTGTACTAACAGTTCTTCCATATTTATTTTGGCCTTTTACTAATATAAACAGAATTTGAAATATCTTTGTGGTTCTTAACATAGTTTTTATTTGATTGATTATTAATGCTGTATACATGGCTTTCATTTAACTCCCATTTTGTCCCACAAGCAGTTTCAACAAGATGGCACATTTAGCAAAGACCATTTTATAGCATACTCATAGTACCAAGTCAGAATTAATCTAACCTCTGATCTGACTAAAGTAAACTGAAATTGAGCTATTTGCTATGGGATGCAGCACATTAAAACTAGGAATAGTACTTCCTACCAGATTTCTGTCAACAGTTTTATTTAAAGGTGGGGAAAATGCTTACACAGAGCCAAATTAGAGGGGGGAAAAGTAGGGCATCTGTTCTGGCACCAAACCTAATTGCACCAGGCAAAATCCCATTATAATATTTACCTAGGGACCACACTTTCTAAGGCCATGCCCACAACTTACAAACGCTAGGATGTGTGGTTCAGTTGACCATGTTTCTTAAAATACAACAGAAAAAAAAACAAAACTTTTTAATACTAACAGTTTTAGTGTATTTCATTATAATCAAATGTAGCACATGCCCTTGGCCTGTTTAAGCATAAATATACTTGGCTGTGCAGTTTATTTGGGAAGGCTGCAGGCAGGAAAACTGGAGGGCGATCAAAAACTCTTTTCAATGTGAAAAGGCTTGCATACCTCCAGTTTACCTTCCAGTAGAGCCTTGTTTTATTATACCTTCTCAAGGCACATGTGCCATTCAAACTTTATTCTGCATCTCTTCCACAATGTTATAGAAATTTCCATGGTATAATGGTGTAAGCTTCAATAACCTTCTAGGCAAGAAAGGACTTAGTTTAGAATGAAGTTGTGCTATCCCAAAAAGCAAGAAAGGACTAAGTTTAGAATGAACTTGTGCTTTACCAAAAGGCAAAAAAGGACTTAGTTTAGAATGAACTTGTGCTTTACCAAAAGGCAAGAAAGGACTTCGTTTAGAATGAAGTTGTGCTTTACCAAAAGGCAAAAAAGGACTTCGTTTAGAATGAAGTTGTGCTTTACCAAAAAGCAAGAAAGGACTTCGTTTAGAATGAAGTTGTGCTTTACCAAAAGGCAAGAAAGGACTTAGTTTTAAAATGAACTTGTGCTTTACCAAAAGGCAAAAAAGGACTTAGTTTAGAATGAAGTTGTGCTTTACCAAAAGGCAAGAAACGACTAAGTTTAGGATGAACTTGTGCTTTACCAAAAAGCAAGAAAGGACTAAGTTTAGAATGAACTTGTGCTTTACCAAAAGGCAAAAAAGGACTTTGTTTAGAATGAACTTGTGCTTTACCAAAAGGCAAGAAAGGACTTAGTTTAGAATGAACTTGTGCTTTACCAAAAAGCAAGAAAGGACTTAGTTTAGAATGAACTTGTGCTTTACCAAAAGCAAGAAAGGACTTAGTTTAGAATGAACTTGTGCTTTACCAAAAGGCAAGAAAGGACTTAGTTTAAGATGAACTTGTGCTTTACCAAAAAGCAAGAAAGGACTAAGTTTAGAATGAACTTGTGCTTTACCAAAAGGCAAAAAAGGACTTAGTTTAGAATGAACTTGTGCTTTACCAAAAGGCAAAAAAGGACTTAGTTTAGAATGAACTTGTGCTTTACCAAAAAGCAAGAAAGGACTTAGTTTAGAATGAACTTGTGCTTTACCAAAAAGCAAGAAAGGACTTAATTTAGAATGAACTTGTGCTTTACCAAAAAAAAAAGGGAAGAGTAACAGGTTCTCTTAAATCAGGAGTGAGCAAACTGCGGCCCCTCAGCTGCTGTGGAACTACATGACCCAGGAGGCACTGCAAGACTGACAGATACAAGCATGACTTTCAAAGGCAGAGAAATGATGGGACTTGTAG